TAGAAAATTAATTAAGTGGGAAATGCTTTTCAAATTGTCTAGAAAGGAAAAGTTTGAACGGTTTTTTTGTGACGAATGGAGTAGTTCTCTAATGTTTTGTGTCTGTTTTAGCGATTAGATGGAATCCTGCAGCACTTGATGGGTATGTTGTTCTAATTTTTGATATTTTTTTGATATTTTGATATTTTTTGATATTTTTAAACATTTATTTGATATTTTTTTCTAATTTTTGGTACAGTCATGACTAGTTTTTACAATGTTTAAGATAAATGTTGAAAAATACAAAATATACGACTGAAAGTTGTTCGAGATAGAAATCATGTGAGACACATATGTATTATTTTAATAGAAAATTAAAATATGTAACTAATTGGGCCAAGACCACCTAGGCCCACAGGTATACTACAAGGATGCACAGCCCACATGAAATGGATGGGGGTAATGCGACCCAAAAAGCAAGTTGCTGGCTATGGGGTTCGAACCCATGCGCACTTATGTGCAGAAGATCTTAAGTCTTCCCCCTTAACCTCTCGGGCAAACCAGCCAGTTGCGAAGTTTTAATGCTCAATGTTTAAATAACCAAAAACGTTGAAAATGATAATGCAGTTTAGGAAGTTGTTCCCGCCAACAAAATGGGCTGCAGAGTTTAACGCGGCAATTGCAGTTCCTTTCTTCTACTGGCTAGTTGGACCATCCAAGGTAGTAAAAACTACAAACTCATTTGAATGACCTATTTGAATTTCAACACACTTTTCTTTAAAATGAGTTTTTTTTTTTTCAATTTTTGAGATATTGAACAACTAAATCCGGACGGAGAAAGTGATTCATAACCCTTCCTTTACACCCTCCTTACGTATATATGCATCCAATTGATATGAAGGTTGTGGAAGTAGAGCTGAACGGAGTGAAGCAAAAGAGCGGAGTTCAAATAAAGAAATGCAGGTATATATGTATATATTCATCACAATTAAAGACTCGTTATCCTATATAAAGAAATGACTTATGTTTTAGTCCTATTTAGTACAAATTTTTCATAACTAAACCCTACTTGTTATTAATCCTTTACCATTCTTCCATCTCAAGGTAGGTACCTAGAGAACAGTGGATGTGTAGGAATGTGTGTTAACATGTGCGAATTACCTACACAAGACTTTTTCACTAAAGAGTTTGGACTTCCCTTAACTATGAATCCAAGTATGATCTTCGTTCCCTCTTTGCAATTTGGTTAATTATGTGCCTTAGCTTGCAATTACATATGTAAGAGAGTTGATTATTAGAAGTGCCTGTAGAAAATAACAATGGGAAATTCTTTCTATATTGAACTGTCTTGCAGATTATAAAAACTCAACTGTCTTTATATAGGAAGAAGGCAATTATTTCTGTTTCTACCATATTTTTATTTCTATTACAACAAGAATTATATCAAACTGGGAAAGTCACCAAACCGAATCCCAAAGGAATTCGGTTCCCATTTCTGCATAAGTCTTTTGTAACAGTGCCAAAGTACTAATGTCAAATGTTTCAGATTTTGAAGACATGAGTTGTGAAATGGTGTTCGGCCAAGAACCACCGCCTTTTGAACAAGATCCGGTTTCTAAACAACCGTGTTTGGCTGGCATTTGTGAGTTCAATTCCATTTTTCTCACCAATTAAAGATTAGAGGTTACATTTTATTCTAAAACGTTATCAAGAGGAGTCCAAAGCTTTATATGTTGGTTTATATATATTCATATTCAGATGATGATGCGGGCGGGGTTACTTAAGAAACACATGGGCTTGATCATATTTGTGCTGTGGAAATTGTGATTTGAAAAGTATAAGTTGCGCTGTGTTTGCAGGTTCTATGGCGAACCCGAACTCAGATGTTTGCCATAAACTACAAGTCTAGAACTGCAACTCCTGCATGCTCCCTGCAATCTTGCATTTGTGCTTGCCACTCATACTCCAGGAATTTACACCTTTGGAATTGTAGTTGTACAAACCCATTTTTTTTAGTTTGGCCATTGGGTATGGTTCATGCCATCCCCTATTCCTCTACTTCCAACTCAACGACATGTTTACTTTTCCTTTTACTTTCCTTTCTGTCCTTCTCCTTTCAGGAATGTAGTTCCCTTTCTCTTCCCCTTTTCTTTTCATTTTTTTTGAATATTATTTTTAACTGTTTATTTAATTAAAATTACTTAAATTTCATTCAATTCAGTAAAGTTAAAATTTCAAGTGTACATTTCACTAAAAATAAAATAAAAAGTACTACAAAATTGAAATATAATTAAAAAGAGTAATAGTGAATTTAAAAATCTAAAAAGTCATTCTTGTGCTAGCCACCGCTTTAATATCTGGTCTTTCATTCTCATTACCACTGCTCACTCCATAGGACCAAGATGTAGGACCAAGATTCCCAACATTGGCGGTTATTATTTTGAAGTCTTCTTGCTCGAGACGTTATTGATGCTCGAGCTCAAGCTTCTCCGCATTTGCTTAATTCTCAAGCTCAAGCTTCTATGCTATCGCTTGATGCTTGAGCCGAAGCCGCTCCACTTGTAATTCAGTAAATGTGGACAAGGAATCGGGGAGATGCTCGAGTTGTTAACGAACATCGGAAGTCGGTATATAACTTTTGAGTTAAACTAAGTACTACCTCCGTTCCAAAGTATTTGTCCACTTTCATTTTTACACACCATCCAATACACTTCTTTAATCCATTTTATCTTGTAATTTGTATATTAAAAAATTATAGAAATTATATATTAATAATATACTACCTCCGTCCCACTGTCTTTGTCCACATTTGACTTTTGGAACTGTTCATCTAAGCACTTTGACTCATCAAATTCTCTCAATGTGTAAGTCTAAAAATAGTCATGTGTGATCTTGTTTGATTCGTCTTAACATATAGATTATTAATATATAATTTCTATAATTTTTTAATATACAAATTACAAGATAAAATGGATTAAAGAAGTGCATTGGATGGTGTGCCAAAAGGTAAGTGGACAAAGACAGTGGGACGGAGGGAGTATATGTTAAGACAAATCAAACAAGATCACACATGACTATATTTAGGTTTACACATTAAGAGAATTTGATGAGTCAAAGTGCTTAGATGAACGGTTCCAAAAGTCAAAACTGGACGAATATTCCGGGACGGAGGGAGTAATTGATTGAAATTAATCTTTTAATCTCGTTCAACACAAGTGCCTTATGGCCCAGTCTAGTGACCCCGACCTCATTCTAAATTTTATCACACACCCTTTCATCACGGCCTCTAGCGTTGTTCGCGAAGATGATGCTCTTTTGGCCTTATCCCTCCAACGGGTTTTTCCGTCTCAAGAAGTGTTAGAATGTCGGTGTTGTCATCACTTATATTAGGCACCCAACACACATCAAATTTGATAGGACTATAGTCTCCTGATTCAAAAGTCTTGGTACATTTTGCCCTCTCCACTTCGTTCAGTACCAGAGCCCACTTCAAACATATATGCGTTTAACGCTGACCATGCCTTGATGTGTGGGAATGGGGCCACGTTTAGCTTGCTATTTTTGGAGCGCAATCCTCAATACTTATTCGTCACTCATTCTGCTGGGATGCATGTGTAAGATAGAAGTTGCTGTAGAAAGCAATTTTGTTCATGTCTCAGAACTTGGAAACAGCCGAAGGGACAAGGCGTGGTACAGCGAGGCGTTCATGAGGGTGTGGAATTGGTCGGTGCTCTTTGCCCAAAACTCGTTACCGCTTTGAGCTTTCCCTACATGATAAAATATTGGTGAAAAAAAATCGGTAAAAATTTGAAATATATTTTTGAAAGTAATAGATTTTTCCAATGTTACCTCCTCGATTACCGTCCATGGCATGGGGTTGCTTTGACCACTTGTTTTTCTTGGCATTTTGGTTTTCGTTGTTTAAGATTAGTTGTGTTTTGAGCACAACCTCTTAGACGTCGTCTTGTGAAAGGGAAACAAAGTGCAGCGCCGGGTTGGTCGGCTGCAGCTCTTACATCGGGAACTTTGTTCGGAGATGTTCCATTTGGATGGTCGAGCCCTATTGTTGTTGATATTGGAACATCATTTGTTTCCATTCATGAAATTGTTGTAGATGACTGAATACATTTGGTATTTGGCTTGAACCCGTAAATGCAGAAGAGAGGGACGTTGGTGGTTGGGGTTGGGATGGATCCATAGTGAAGGATGAAAAAATGATTGTATAATAAATAAGTTAAATAATGCTTGAAAATTAAGGAAAGATTATGAAGAAAGTGTGAGAGAAGAAGTTGGAGAGCAAGATTTAAATTTTAAATAGAATATTTTTTGAAATTGACTGATGGAATGATATCATCTCAGCCTAATCTAACATCTACCTCTATTTTTTCAATCGAAAAGAGTAGAGTAGGTTAGTATTTCATTATCCATTATCAATCATAATTAAACATTCATTAAAATGCAGACAATAATAATTAACATTTATTATCTTTAATTAAAAATCCAGACTATTGTTTTGTAATCGTGCTAGTCTAAAAAAACGACACCTAGTGAGTGTGAATGTATAAATCCCCATGAAGGCTTGAACTTGGCATTTCCTCCGGTGAACGGAATATGGCCCATGATCTATCAAAGTATGAATATGTTCACTTTGAATGAATTAAACTGAAATGATCCTAAACCCTAATTATTTGATCTAAAAATAAAATACATTTAGGAAATAAAGTTGAAGGGATTGGGGTGATTCGGAGCAGGCCGATGATGTGGGTTTTACACTTTTACTAGAAGAAATTATCCCAAATATGAGTAAAGCATAAATAAAATTCAAAAATAGGAATTTCATGTTTTTTATCTAAGAGCACTGGTAATACGTTTGAAGCCCCAGGGCTTCAAACTTTCTCTCTCTGCCACGTCAGCTTTAACTTACACCCAAAATTCACTGGAAATGGGTTTGAAGCCCCGGGGCTTCAAACTGAGGCTTCAAACCTTCATTTTTAAATATACATCTTCTAAAATTAAATTAATAAAATGTAATTAATTTATTATTTAATTAAATTGAAACACGAATAATAAAAAATACATTAATTAAATAAAAAAAGCGACAATAATTTAAAAAAAAAGATACATTAATAAAAAGGCTAAGGTAAATTATATTTCTCGTTGATCTCTCTCATTCTTTGCTCGTAGATAATTCGTCCAAACTCCGACAACGTCCCGGGGTCGGTTTGCATGACTTTCATCTCGGCCGCCTGCTCCTTTAGCTTCAACTCCTTCTCTTTAAGCTTCAACCTCTCTTGTTCTTGGAGATTGAACGCCCGAAGTTGTTCAATCATTGCCCGGTCAATTTCGTCGCGGGGAGAAGCGGAAACAGAGGCGGACCCTCCCGAACCAGAGGCAATAGATTTTGCCTTCTTTCTTCCGATCGGCCATGGAATGGGGTCCTCGTCATCGGAAGCCGCAACGTTGAAGGAAGGGATTTGATCGGTAGAACCGATGGTCTCGTCGACCTCAACCTCGGCGTCGACGGTGGATCTTTTCCGGAACGATCCGCCGTCGGGATTGTTGAGTTGTTGCCACTTCGGGGAACGACTCAAAATCCCCCAAAGATCGATGGGCACCTTGCCTTGGTTCCCGTCGTCTTGATACCAGGTCGTGGCAAGCCGGAGAACATCGGCGTCGTTCATGCCGCTCCTCCGGGACCGGGAGCATTCCTCGTATACTCCCATAAATTTTCGTACTTTTTTGTTGATGTGGATCCATTTGGAAGTGAATTGGTCCCGGGTTCGTTAGGAGCCGTCCTTCTTCATCGCCGTGAAGAACTTCTCCTCGATACGATCCCACATCGCATCCTTCGTTTGCTCCGTACCTATAAAAATGTATTACACAATTTGTTTAGACACCATTAAATATAAATAAAAACATAAATATATTAGAAAAAATAAATTTTTTTACCAATGATATGATGCTCGGAGACGTCAACCCAAGCCGACGCCAATAGGCACTCCTCCTCCGGCGACCTTTTTTGGATTGACCGTGCCGCCTCGGTCAACGTGCTTTTGGCTTTGTGGCTTTTCCGGCGTGTACTTTTTTTCGATCCGGACGGTTCCGGTTGAGTCTCCGGAACCGAATCTCGGTCGATGTACCCCGATTGTTGCGTCTCGTAGATAGGCGGTCGATCGCCCCACTCGTGGTAGAACCACATCGCAGCATCACTCGGCGGGAGATCGTCGGGAGAGAAGCCGGAGTCGGAAGGATTCATGTTGAAACTTGGGAGGGGGGGTTTGAATTTTGAAATTTAAAAAATAAGAAAGAAGAAGAGGTTGAAGATGGAGAGAGTGTGAGATATTGGGAGGGAGGGTTTGAATATATAATAATTTTTTTTGAAATGGGGGGTGCAACGGCTCAAAGAGCTGTTAGGGGGGAGGGGGAGACGAATGATGCTGCGTCATTCGTTTGACGCAGGCGTGGTAACGACCGTCGGCGGTGTTTAACGCCCCCGGGGCGTGAAAACCGGCATAACGCCGGTCGGCGTTACGGGTATACCGTGTGCTCTAAGTAGAAGTTCACAGTGTAGTAATATGACATTGTGCATGTACATTTTATTATACGTACTTTTTGGTAACATACATGCTCATGATTGGCAATGTAAATGTATTTTAATTCCTATTTCGTGAATAAAAACATGAATTTCCTATTTTGATATATTTTCAACGCTTTACTCATACTTTAGTTTTTTCTCTTTAATTAGGGGGTTAGAGAAAATATGAATCATCAATTTTACAATTGGAGTACCATAACTATTCCGATTTGAGTTGTTGTGATATTATGACATTATATTTTGTTGTCAAAAGAAGAGGGTGTACAAATACTGATATACTCCCTCTGTTCCTAAAAGATTGCCACATTTTAACTTTATTGGTCAAATTGTGACATTCTATGACCGTAAATTATGGTAAAAGTATATTTAATTATAATGTAAATTTAGTAAAATTGGGTTTACTTTAAAATATAGTTTTAAAATATCAAATTTTTATAATATTTAGTTATTTAAATCATAATTAATTCGTGGTCAAAGAGTACCATTGCCTGACCAAAAAAACCAAAATGTGACAATCTTTTACGGACATATGTCCCTCCCTCTAGTTTCTTCCAATTTACTCTGTATTATTTATAAGTTCAAATTTTATTTATTTTCTTTACTTATTTTAATTGATCATTTGATAAAACTAAATAGTATTTTCATTTCTTTGGCTACTTATTTTGTAGATCATTTGAAATAGTTTTAAAATATGTTAATTTTTGTTTTGATTTTTACACCAATATTCATAAAAATTGAATTAAAAAAAAGTTATTAAATATCGTAATCTGAAACATGAAAACCCTAGAGGGATAAATGGAGTACATAAATACTTATTACTATAAAACATATCTTTTTTAAAGTTAAAATTTTAGTTTTAATATTGATGTACATCTATATATTAACATTTCTTCAATTCTTTGTTTTTTAAAAGAAGTAAAAGGAAAAATGGAAATAGTTTTTAAAAATTCTTACCTCGTATAAATCTTTCTTTTTTAAAACATTAATAACGTGATAGAATCTTTTTAAAAAATGTAACTGAATATGGATGTTTGACAAAATCTATTGTGGACCTAAGGCCTACGATAGATTTACATATGAGCAAAATAAGTGTGTTGTAATTAATATATTAAAAAACTTAAAATATCAAATACGGAGTATCAAATAGTTTCATTAAGAAAAAAAGTTTGGTTCACAATTACAATGGTCACAAACTTACAAATTTACTAATTGTGAACTTCAATAAAAAAATTAAATAGTTTAAAATAATTTTAAAATAAAAATTTAACCTATAAATAATAACTTTGTGAACATTTTATTTGTAAACCTAACATTGCTTAAATTATACACCGAGTATTGTGGAAACATTTATAAAGAGACGGTATGAAGTGTGAAGTGTGAAGTGTGAAGGCCTAATTATGGCTTAGAGTATCAGCATTAAATTCAAAAGACGTTCGGGAGTGAAGACTCCCAACCATTCGAAATTCTTGCATACATTAATTATGGCTTGCTCTTATTGAGTGATGGGAACACATTTCTAAGCTCTAATTACAGCATCATACTCGTTCTTTTCAAATTTTCAAATTTTATTATTGGCCAAATAAAACAATTTCTTTATCCAATTAGTTACTGTTGTCTCACTTCGGGTGAGCATGGGTTTGGAACTTTGAGACGACTCAAAACCACATGCTCAATAATGTCACAACCAATTAAATTAAGTGAAATTTGCACTAAATATAATTAAAATATAATGACTTTCATAATCTAAGATTTAATTTTTTTTATTCTCAAATAGAACTTAATAATATCTTCGTGGAAGTAATAATACCCAGGCAATGATAGACATTACTTGAATAATGACTAAAGAATAATACATTCAGAAATGAAAACATATAGTCCTATTTTGTGAAAGTCATTATTTTTTAGTACTAATTATTCTTAAATTAATCCAAAACTTATCGATCAATATGCAAAACTCACCAATCAATATGAGAATAATTCTTGTGGGCAGAAAATTGTAAAGGTTTCCTGAAATACGAAAGAGTTCTAGATTTACATCTTCTACAAGTGTATAGAGATTGATCGAGAACCAGGGTTTCCAATCGGAAATCCATCCTTTCCGACGAGGAGGTTTCCTCGCGAGAAACCCACGCACACATTTCCCCTCTCACAATCGCAACTAGGGACCAGAGTGAGTTGGCCGATTTTATCTCTCTAGAAGTGCATCGTTGGGAATCTGTTCATTATTACTGTTCAACTCGGGACTTTGATTTCCAAAATTTCCCAAGTTTTTCCTTGTGATTTCTCCAATTTCTCAGTGTTTCTTGGTCGATTTTAAGGGGTTATCGTTATCTATTTTGGATACAATTAACGGGTCTTGATTTTCCAAATATCATTGGTGTTGGTATTGTTGAATGTTCTTTGTGAATTTCTTGCTGCAACTGTGATTGTTTCTGTAATTGCTTTGTGATTGTTTGTGATTGCAACTGTGATTGCTGCAACTGTAGCTCAGGTAATAAGATTATTATTTTTTCAAATAGTGATCAAACATTGGTTACTTGTCATCTTATTTATAGTGTACACCCTATCATCTCCATGAATTTAGATCAACCTTACATCAGGTGGGAATCAATAAGAAACTTTGCCGTGTTTAACCAAGTGTGCCATTTTTATCTAGGAATACTAAGTAGTAATCAACCTATCTTGATTCATGTTGTGTTGGTTTTTCACAATGACAAGAAAAACTGGAGGCGGTCCATGAGTAAAGACCGCACGCTAATCAATCACCTGCCATAATCTCCATAAATTTCTTATTGATGGGGCAGTGACATTTGTCAATAATATTGGAAATGCATCACAATCTTGCTGCATATGATTAACTATATAACCTGAATAAATATTGGAATGCAATAAATATCCAATTCTGAAAAATTAGAAGTTTACTGTATTTTAAGATATGGAACTTTTCAATTCAAATTGCTTGAAGAAGCTTGCAAACAAATAATTATCCATTTAGAAACCAAACCAAGTAAAACATACTTCAAACAATATTTCCATGCCTTATATATGCCTTACCTATCTTCATTATTCAATACACTAAACTATAAGTTCATGCCTTATCTTTCTAAAGTGAAAGAAAGCAACCAGACTAAGCATCAGTGTCCAAGCATCGGTCAATCTTCGAATGAAGGCTAATTAGATTTCAAATTGCAGCCTAGAGGTAATTTTACTTCTTGATTTCTTTCTAGCAGAATTTGGTTTAATTTCTTGATTTTCAATGTGCAAAGTTGTAGATTATATTTCAAGTGTTTATTGAAGTTTGGTTTCTTTAAGGAGTACTTTAAAGGACCTCATTGTACAATATATGACTTAATAGATTTCTTGCATTCCTAATGTTCATACGAAGTTATCAAGAGACCTGGAAAAAGTGTGGATAACACAGATTTGTACCTTTAGAGGCAGTCACTTTAGTTGTTGCTAACACTTCTCATCGAGCCTGTATCACACATGCATTTTGTTCTTTTTGGGGCTGCTTTACAAGATCAAAAAAGTCTTTGTGATTATGGTTTCCAAAAGTGAAGGTAAAGCTAAATGTTTTAGTTTGGAAATCCCAACTATAATACTCATTTTTGATGCAGTTAATACTTAACTTACTGGTAGTATCTAGGTTGGAAGAAACCATTATTTTGAGGTTATTGATATTTTTTTTAGTTTATAGACTTATAGAACTATGACAGTTTGAGGCTATTAACAACTTTTTGGGTTAAGGGATTTCTGAAACTATGATCCTGATTGTTCCTTGAATTTTATGGTTATTTTTTGATGGTTTTAGCATACTGTTTGAGTAAGGTCATGTCCATTAATCGGCAGCACAGGTTGGGGATGCTTTAAGGAGACTGCAATGCAGATGCTTCAATAGGCTATAAAAGTTTTGCTGCAGATTCTGTTTGCACTTGCTACATGGAAGCAAATTTGCATTGCTACTGAGGTGGTTCGTAGCCCAGATTATTTGGCCTATTTGAGGGTATTCTCTCTTTTATACATCAGCAAAGTCTGTCTCATTAAACTAGATTTGTTGTGGTTTAAACTATTTTCTGGTTCTATATTTTGATGACTTTCTTGAATGTGTTCCAGGTATGAGATGTTGGCTAAATTTTTCGAGTCCATGGATATTTCTATTTGTATGTTACAGTGTAGGAGGTCATTGTCATCACTTAGTACATTTACAAAGATTGAACCAATGGTCCGGAGTTTGACTAATAGGTATTGGAACCAAACACCATAAATCTCATGTCTTTTTTCTTTCCATTTTTTTGGCATATCTTCAGCTAATACTGTGTGCTTAGACTATGCTAATTCATTGGTTTTGGGTTAATTTATAGGAGGTTTACTCACGGTCATGTAGCTCAGATGAAGTTCATTTTACCAGAGGTGATTGAGAAGATAAAGGATGATCTTATTACAATAAATCCCAGTGCAGTTGTGAATGAAGGAGATGTAAAATCAGGCAGTGCTAATATAGGGTTGTGGAACATATTCCGAAAGCGGCTTTTAGATTTTTTTGAAGCCCATCCAGAGGTATTAACTGTTCTTCTGCCTGTATATATAGTGTTTGGCTGAATGTATTTTTGGTACAAAGGCAATTGGATAGCCGTGTGTGTAAGTAGTACGGAGTACGTTTTAGGAAAATCCATATGTTGTTGGAACTTACACACACGCTATCCATTAACACACGGCTATCCATTGGCTGAATACTCCGTATATAGTACTCCGTAGTACATTTGAGGTTCACACTACTGTTTTGAACAGAAGTTTGTATGACTATCATACTACTTCTCCGAAGACTACTTAAAACAACAATATCAGACTACCGAAAAAACAGAGTAGTATAATGTTGTTTTTGGCGTAGTGTAACATAGGTAGAGATTAAAATATATTTCTAATTTTTTTATTTTACATCAATATATAAATAAATACTCCCTTTGTTCCAAAAATGAATTACCTCTTTCGATCAACATGTAAAATCCCGCGACTTTTAAAATAATGTTATTACAAATTAGTATTAAAATATAAAATAAAAAATATAAATTTTTGAAAACTATATCATAAGTTCTACAAGAGATTAGGTGACAATAATATTTTTTTACCAAATGATCAATGAAAATATGCAATAAATAAAAAGTTATCGAGATGTTGTAATAGTAAAGAATTAAATTATTTTGGAATGGAGAGAGGACTAAAGAAACAAACTTCATTTTAGCATATCATAAAAAAATATGAAACTTAATTATTCAAAGAGAAAGATACTATATATCTTAATTATTCATTGAATATTATACTCCGTAAATAAATTGAAAAAAATATATAATCTTGAGCCTTGAAAATTTTTGTGTGCCATATTTGAAAGTTTCCAACAATGATTCACTTTTGAGCCTTATACATACCCTTTTTTTTAAATAAGCCTTTTTGTCTAATTTAATAATGAATGGAATGGAAACTCTCACACTTTAAGTTGACTAAAGAATGACTTTAAAATGACTTAGAAATGACTAATGAGTGACTTAGTAACCTTTACGCTCTAAGTTAATACATATATCTCGGGTTCTTCATTATTACACTTTCAAATGACTTAGTAAAACTGTTCGGAAATTGTAAAATTTATTTTTAAAATTTGTTTAAAAGTGATATAATTGTTGTGATGCCATTTATTTCAGTGTTTAGAAGGAAATTAATAAAATATACTGCATGTTTTTTGTACACAAAAAGTGCGAATCTATCTATATATCTATATATATATGTAAAAGAGAGTTTAGTTGTTGCAATGTTGATATGTGGCATGCCACATGTGCATCCACATGTGCACCCATTTATGAAGTGGATATATGCATTGCACCTATTTTAAATATCTTTTAATACATTTGTGTAAAATTTTTCATTCCTTAATAATTCTGAATATATATTTCACCATTGTAAAATAAACTTCGTATTTTGAGTACACACACATAAAATTATTTTTATACTATCCACAACTTATTTTAGTTTATTACTTCTCGAAAAATGATTGTATAAATTTAAAGGGTGACAACTGACAAATGACATTATGACACATATATATTCTCTAATGAGGTATCATTATGCATGTAACTGATCCACTTTTTATTATAATATTTTATTGATTCAAACCATTTCTATTTAGTACTTAATTCAATGATTATTAATTTTGTAAAATTGTTTTTTTAAATTAACATACCAATATACTCTGTATGTTCCATCAGTCTAAAACATTTTTTGTCACTATTAGAAACTAAAACAACTAAAATTATATTTATAAAATCTCAAAAGTTTAGAATATATACGAGCCCGTGCGAAGCACGGGATAAACACTAGTACTTTTGTAAAATGGAGTATTTTAACTCAATCATAGATGTCCAAAAAAATCAATTATAGACCTTACTTTCATTCTTCAATTCTAAGATATGAAGTCAACGGCTAGACCAATATGTGCATGTTCCATTAGTTTAGAGCAAAGTGAACCGTATCAATCACATTGATAATCACAAAGAATAATGGTGCTATGCATCGAATTTTTGGACATGCATATCGGGAGAAAACTTTCTCCACTCCACGATCCAAGTTGAAGCTCTTACTAGTTAGTTACGGATTACAACGGACGGGGAAGATGGACGACCCCGATAAAGTATTAAATAAATTCTGAATTTATAATTTATTCAGAATACTAGAAAATAAACAAAAATTGAAAATTATTTTCTTGATCTTCAAACGTCCTTGCTGTACGTGGTCATTATGCACTATACTGCAAAGACATGATGTACTAGCAAAAGATTAAGTCTGGGACGAAGACACTGTGAGAGGTCCAATTGGTCTTTTAGGTCCAGTAGGGTCATTAGGTCCAATCGGTCCGAACCTAAATCATTTCGGGTTTGGACCGAACCGGACCGAAACCCAAATGCCTAAATTTTCTAGACCGAAGACCGACCCAAAATCCATTCGGTCCGGGTTCGGTCTGGAACTAACGGTCCGGTTCGGTCAGTTTTTTTGGTCCAGACCTAAATGTGAACAGCCCTAACTACGATGCACCATACCACTCTTGTTTTCTATGACAATATTAGTGTCATTTATTTATTATATAATCTTGTCTAGCATTAGCGCACAAAGCATGTTAAGATTGATATTCACTTTGTTCGTGTGATGTGATAAAGTTTCCCTTGGTCATGTTTGAGTGTTACATGTTCCTTCTTCTTCACAATATGCAGATATGTTTTTACTAAGGGACTCATGTCACTTCTCTTTGCGGATATCTGAGATAGTCTTGCTATACCTCGTCAGCGATAATGTTGCGGGGAGCAGATTAGACATATTTTTTATAAATTTAGTATTAATATTGTATTTCCTCCGCCCTACAAAACATTTCATGTTTGAACTTTTGGAGCGAAAACTGTAGAAGCTTGACCATGATGAAACGACGACAATTGAAATAAGTAGGACTCGAGAAATATTAAAATTGGTAGGGCAGTGTAGAAGATAGTTGAGATAAGTTCAGATAGATTTAAGAAAGTAAAGACACTTGTGTTTACTTAACCCAAATTGAAATGTTTATGAGATAAATAAGATGTAAAAGTTGAAAAGTTTTATGGAACGCAGATAATATATGATAGTTACCTTTTGTATAGGATTTCCTTTAATATTATTCCAACCATACTTAGAACACCCGATGTATATATTAAGGTGAGCCTCACTCTTATAATTAATGGAATATCATAATTCTTCAACTACGTTCAACGAACAAACGAAATGAGTTTTGTATTGAAAATATAATTCTATTTCGGTCGGTATTGGGCTCAACCTTTTCCTCTATGAGCTTGTTCAACTAAAGTTTGAAGTTTCACAACTTGGTAAAGTAGAACAGTTTGCTCTAGAACTTCCTCTGAACAATTCAAATAAATAACGCCGTTTTTGCGGTGCACAAATAGTCAGCAGCAGCCCTAGACCTCTTCCCCATTTTTCGGCACTCTTCTCCTCTCGGCGCTACAAACTTTATTTTTTGAAAGCTCAGCTCTGAAAAAGAAATTTTTAAATGGTTGCAAGAAGCGTTCAACCACCAACAAACTCTTTCCTATTTAGTTTTTTTTTTGCCAGCATTGGGAGAAGCATTAAGTTCTAAGGGTGTGAAAGTTTCTTCCGATGTAATAGCTCTTTGTGCGCGCCGGATACGGCCCGGCCTTTCCGATTATATCGCGATTTACTTACTCACTACTCCGTTGAGTGCGGCACTTGGGACGCATTCCAGTTTTTTTTCCTGTTTAAACCTCTATCTTAGTCTACTCCTGCCGTTTCTAAAAACATATCCTTTTTCATTTTTTTTGTTTTTCCCAAAACATTTCCACTTTACTTTAAAAGCTACTTTTGCCTCTACTTTTCTTTACCCTATCTATCACATTATACTTTTTTACATAATCTATTCATCACATCTTACTTTTACCAATTACACCAAAGGCAAAATTGGAAAGTCAATTACAAATATACATACTTTATTTTTCCTAAAAGTCAAGATAGAAACCGTTTTATGAAACGAAAGAAGTATTTGTCTAGTTTGACTTTTTCAAATCAAACTGAACAAACTTTAGATCTCAATGAGTAATTTCCATAAAAGGTCTCCAGTTATAGGTCGTTTTACATAATTAGTCCCTACATATCAAATATTACTAATTTAGTCCTCAATTATTGGATTCATTTCCACGAATGGTTCTTTGTTAATATTTTTATTAATAACGTGGATAAAATTGTAAATTAACACTCCTTTCTCTCCTCAATTAAGCTTCTTCTCTCCCCTCGCACTCCTTTCCCAAACCCATTGCTGAGTTTGAAGCTTTGAACCCAAAACTGAAATCATCACTCTTCTCTCAATTCTTTGTCGAACTGGTGGAACCCAAATTCGAAACCAGTAACCTTCATGGATAAGTTTTAATGTTTATTTTTTTTTTTTGCAATTTCTTGAGACTTACCAATGAAACTCATCCATAAAGTTTATTGGTTTTGATTTTAGGTTCCACCAGGAAGACTAATAATTGAGAGAGGAGTGATCATTTCAATTTTGGGTTTAGAGCTTCTAACTCAGCGACGAGTTTGGAAAAGAGTACGAGAGGAGGGAGCAAACTTAATTGAGTAGAGAGAGAAGTATGAATATACAATTTTATCCATGTTCCTAATAAAAACGTTAACAAAGGATCATTCGTGAAAAATGATACTCTGTATAATAATTGAGGACTAAATTAATAATATTTGATATGTAGGAACTAAATATATAAAATAACCACCTTTTATGAAATTTACTCAATTCTTTTTGTTTGGAATTGTTTATTGACTTTATTCTCCTATCCATGGGAACAAGCCGCGTTTACTTGCCCACTAATCTCTTTATGTATCTCCCCCCCATTTCTCTTCTTCTCTCACCGAATTGTGGACACATTATTACTACAAGTCAACATGTCAGGAAGCCAATAATAAGCTTTAGCTCATTTAGTTCCGAACTGCCCCATTGCCACTTCTTTATTTTAATTTCTCCATTGACCTTTATATATATATTAGCACAAAAGCCATTCTCTATATCCAACCACACCCTTCTCCCTTTCTCTCTTCATCTTTCATACCTTTTATAGTTTTTGTACAATCTTTCGTCTCTTGTCGAGTACAAAAATTTAGATTGGTGCAAAAACAAAAAGAAGAAAAGGTATAACTATATTGCCATTGGCGGCTTGGCGCAGCCCTCTGTGCGCCAAACCCGCCTTTAGCAAACCGCTAGTATACCTTTCGTGGTTGATGTCCATTGTTGCACCGGTGGCGGTGGTAGTGGCAATGACTGGGGTTTTAGGGCGGAGCAAATCGGTTATAGCAATCACGGGGAGAATCGTTAACGACATCCTTAGCTTTGTCGTTTTCTCCCTCTTGGACGTGCTAGATTTTGTCCTCTGTTACGCTTTTAAGGTCCTCGATTTCGCCATAGAGGCGGAATGGAGGTCGTGCTACTGCTGGTACGCCAAAGAAGGCAGTACCAACAAGGGCACAATCTTGGTCTCCGAGCAAGGGGAGTCCAAGATTCTCCGCCTCACTTCTTCCAGCAAGCTTCAGCTGGAAGAAGTTTCAGACACCTTGTTCAACCGACCCTCGTATCTCGCCGAAATTTCGAAATCAACGGTGAATGAGCTTAAGATGAGGCGCAAAGCGGAGAATAAGGTTCATCATCAACAATCTTGTGATCATCATCATCATCATCAAATCAAGGAGGGGAGATCAACTTTCACAATCAGCTCCACCATTGCTGAGATTCTTCAAGGTAGGGTTGGAGGAGGGCGGCAGCAACCGCATTGTCCTGCCCCAAGATGGTCCGATTGCGATTGCAAGACTTGCCATTCTTGGGCATCTTCTTGCAAGGACACATTGTACGTCAAAGTTGATGGTGCCAAAGGTATGTATGTATATATTTAGGTATACTCAAAAAAGTTAATTTTGTTAAGTTCTTCAATTTATTTATTTATTTTTTATTTTAGGCAATAATGTGCAAGAAGATGTTCTGTTCATCCATGGCTTCATTTCATCGTCTGCGTTCTGGACGGAGACGTTGTTTCCCAACTTCTCGAAGGAGGCGAAATCTAAGTACCGTTTGTTCGCGGTGGACCTGCTCGGGTTCGGGAGGAGTCCCAAGCCGAACGACTCGCTTTTCACGTTGAGGGAGCACCTTGAGATGATCGAAAAATCCGTTCTTGTCCCCAACAAGGTTAAGTCATTCCACATCGTTGCTCACTCTCTGGGGTGCATTTTGGCCCTCGCACTCGCCGTGAAGCACCCCGGTCTCATCAAGTCCCTCACGTTAATCGCCCCCGTAAGTAATTAGCCACTCACATCTTCAACTAATCCAATATATATGAAATGGCAATTGGCAACTCATGGGTGGCCCGGAGGGTGTACAAAGTGGTAAAACGCACAGAGCCCTTTAAAATTAGGTTAACATATTTGTAAATTTGTTTACAATATAAAACAAAAATATTCTAAAAATATAAAATAGGGCACAAAATATAAATTTCGGACCAGGCCAATTTTATTTTTTTATTTTTCGGGGCCGGCCCTGTGGCAACTTATTTTGGTATAAATTTTACTCAGTATGTTTTAGTCTTATTTAGTGTGATAAAAAAATGTGCAGCCATATTTCCCGGCGCCGGAGGGAGAGCAGGCGACGCAATACATGATGAGGAAAGTGGCGCCGCGGCGGGTGTGGCCGCCCATCGCGTTCGGGGCGTCGCTAGCGTGCTGGTACGAGCACGTTAACCGGACGCTTTGCCTGGTGATCAGCAAAAACCACCGGCTATGGGAATTTCTCACCAAAGTCATTACGAGAAACAGGTTGGTTAGTTAATTGCGTTGATGTTATACCTCCGATATCCTTAAGTAAGTAAGTATTATGGTTGAGTATATGGTTGGTTGGTTGAAGGAATTAAAGAAAGGCCAGCGGTCAACACGTACCGGACCAATTACTTTAACTAGCTAGCTGGTTTTCATGTATACGTACACATTACCAATCCAGTAAGAAGCATTGGATCACCCCAAGATCAATAGTACTAAAATATTTCTTTTCACTAAATAGTGCTCCTCTGTCTCAAAAAAGATTGAGAAATTTTGACTAAAGTGGTAAAATAAGGAGGAATAATTTTGTATTGACTTCTTAAAAATATCCTTGATGTGATGGGTAAAAGTATGATGTGATGAGTAGATTATTAGAAAAAAAGTATGATACAGTAAGTAGGGTATGAAAAGGTAAGATGTAAAAATGATTTTTAATAAAAATGAGACAGATATTAAAGAACACAAATTTTTCAAAACGGAACTGACTTACGACATTATAAACTCACTGTGATTATCCCCAGTGGTTCTTGTAAAAACACAAAAGAAATCCAACTGTGTAGAAAGATTAATTACCTGCAGTGGGTCGTGTAAAAAAAAAAGAGATGTAAGATTGATTAATTCATTTATTAGGTTTAGTTGTCACAACTCATAAGTGCCACCATAAGTGAGGGGATATATGAAAGCGTGGCTGTCACAGGTCACAACCTATCTACAACTGGATAGCCGGCCGGTTATCATGCCTTCCTAATTATATTGCGGCGATTAATTAAGGCCTCATTTTGTCAATAATTTCCCAATAAATTTCTTTCCGAGTTTTAAATACAAAAAACTTTATCCACATACGCTGAGGACTTTAACAATGTTCTATCTTCCATGCGGATCGTGCCCCAAAAGAAAAATGCTTTGAGTTTTTGGACGAAACTCATACGACTACTGTAACGATAATTAATTTCTGTTGGAATTCACATTCTCTTTTAATTTAATTTGAAGGGTTATTAAAACACCAAGAAGTAACACATCAAAAACAAAATCAAATCAAATGTTATCTACGTTTAATTTTTAACATTTTTAAATGTTTACCATTACTGTACATTAATCCAACCACTAAACATTATATCAGTACTATTTATGGAATACAAAAGTTTAAGTAATAGATTAGAAAATTTAATACAAATTTTAAAAAATAAATGCATGAGAACATGGGCCTCTCCGGCCTAAACGTAGTTTCATTTTCCAAGAACCTTTCTACTTTAGTGTATGAAAAGAAATGTGTCGACCCATTATTAATATTCATTCATCATAATAATAACAATGCTTCACCAACCGCAACTCCTGCCCGCCCTCTCCACAGTCCACATTAAAGTCTCTTCTTACTCCCTCCCTCTCAACAAATTTATCATTAATTCCTTCATCTAATCTTAAATATTGTAGTTAAAAACCCAAGAGTAGTATTCTTTTTTAAAGATAAAGAGAGGGATAATGGACGGTTAGGCACGTTCATTATTCTTTTTTGATGATAAAGAGAGAAAAAATGGACGGCAAGACCATGATTAGTGGCGGCTGACCGTCGATATGATGATGAAGACCAGTGGTGGCGTAGAGTCGTAAAAGAACGAAAGCTAGGTTTTTGAGAAGAGAGATTTTAATTCTGATCATGATACAATTTGGTATTAATTGGTGTTATTGAATAATGAAAGTCATTCCATCTGATCTCAATATATATATGGATTACAAGAGAGAATCATTGTCATAATAAAATACACATTATGAAAGCAATAAAATAAGAACGGTGAGTAAATAATAACATTGTTTCCTGTTACAGGATACGGACGTATTTGGTGGAAGGGTTCTGTTGCCACACGCACAATGCGGCATGGCACACGCTACACAACGTGTTATGTGGGACGGCGTCGAAAATTGAATCATATTTGGAAGCGGTGAGAAACAAGGTGAAGTGCGAGGTGACGATTTTCCACGGTCGCGACGACGTGCTCATCCCTTTGGAATGCAGCTACAATGTGCAATCCAAAGTCCCACGTGCCCACGTCAAGGTCGTGGACGACAAAGACCACATAACCATCGTTGTGGGAAGGCAACAGGCTTTTGCCAGGGAACTTGAACAGATTTGGACTAATTCCTCCCGCTAGATGACCGATCATCCATTCTCCACTACGTCTACATTCGCAAATTGTTTATTCGATAAATCCCCGATATATCTATATATCTATCTATCTACATAATATTTTACTTTCTCTTTTAAATTTAATTATTGTTGTGTATGTTGCTCGATATGGAAAATTTAAAAACTATTTTGCTCATTTGCTTGAGTCAGTTGGGTGTGAGATAGAGTTAAATCGCCTCCTACACATATCGCCAATTCAATATAATGCATATATAAATATATACCATTGTAATGATCCCGTTGATGGTACGTATCGTACTAAACAAAGTTGGCAATACCATGTTTAGGGATTATTTTTTTCACTTAATCTGATTGATTATAATCTGATTAAAATAAGTTATGATTTGGTAGGATCTAATTGTATTTAGATTTAAAAATCTTTTTGATTTGATCTAGTTCTAATAAAAATAAATAATACTTCATCCGTCTCAATTTAAATTATCTGTTTCGGTTTAAGAAGTTTGATTGAAGTTATTTTTAAAATATTTTATATGAAAAATTATGTAGAATTAAAAAATAAAAATTACATATTTTAAAACTAGTGGTGACTAGCTGTATTATTTTTTTCAAATAATTAATGAAAATAAAAAAAAGTAAATAAAAAAGCTTGACTTTATAAATAGTAAACTGGCAATCTAATTTGGGATAGAGAGAGTAATTAACAATAAAAAATTGAACAAAATAAATTCTTAATGTCCGAGTATTATGCGTGCGTTTGAAATGTATTGTGTTTTTACCACACGTTAATTGTTTGCATGAGCAGTTTTGGCGTATTGAGGTAGTTAATTGGTTGGGGTTTTTCATTGTTTGATGCAGATGTTTGACATCAACACTAATCAAAAATAGTATTCCTGTTTTTTTTTCTTTTTTGGCATTTTCATATCCCTATTGTTTAGTTTTTTGATTAAAGTACGGAGCATATGATATGGAGTGTACGTTTTTTAAAGATTTGTCATAATTTATTAGGATAATGATTTTCATTTTTGCACCGAAAACACAGCTAACAAAGTCCAAAACATCAAGAAACCTCCCTATACAAAACGAAATTATTAGTTTAAAACTCAACATATTTAGGCCCCGTTTGGCATCAACGCTAAAAGTTATCGTTAGCGCTTTGAAAAAACTATCTCACGGTAGCCTTTAGCTTTAGCGTTTTCAGAACTAATCTACATCATTAAAGCTTTATAAAAAATACTAAGGTTAATCGAAATCATTGTTCCCAAACAAGGCTTTAAGAGACTCCCCAAACGTACTTTGCTTCTAATGTATAGCTTTGTTCCTTCGGTCTTCCTCATCCCTTTAATAGTAACACCCTTCACAAGTATTTGGTGTCTACTCATACGGCTACGTTCCGACAAATGACACTGGGTCAGTTGAAGCATCTACGGTACTCTATTTGTAAAATTGATGGTTCGATCTCCCTAAAACTTTGAGTGAACCCCTCATTCCGGTCGAGCCTGAACCCACCCACTAAGCCATTCAATTTTATCCTCAAAATATTGTTGACTTTGAAGTAAAACTTTTTAACTCAAAGTCAACAATAATTTGGGGATGAAATTGAAAGGGTTAGAGGGTGGGTTCAGGTCGAGCCGGGGTGAAGGGGTTAACCCGGAGGGTTAGAGAGTATGAACCATCAAATTTACAAAAAAAACATCATAGGTGTCACAAAACCCCAGTGGCACCGTAGTGTCAACTGTGGTTGGTGTCAACGGAACCCCTCTGCTACTCATAACATGTTTAAATAAGTTTTGTGCAAATTCATATCTCCCAAACAAATGTTTATCTGTTTCCACATTCTTCTCACATAAAATATGATCTGTGTTGATAGAAAGATACCTGCTAGTTTGCAGTCACCCTCCCATGAGTAACCTGAAAATAATTCGAAATATAGGGGGAGTGTACTTGTTCCAGACCCAATCCTTCCATCTGGGCATGATTCTTTAATTTCCCCTTGAAGCCAATCATAGCTAGGTTGGATATTATAGCAATCTCCTTTGGGCATGTCTCCGGACTCGTCTCTGACCTTTATCATCTCCCTCCAGCAAAGACAAGATCCTTCTTTAGGAATATAAAGAAGGAGAGAAGACATTGAATGTCCCAACCTCAATCTCTTCCCTCCTCTATGAAAGCCATGATGATAGCCATTGATAATTATAGTACTCCCTCCGTCCGGGAATGATCTTCTCATTTGACTTTTCATGGTCAAAGTTTGTAAACTTTGACTACGGTATGTGGAAAAAATACATTGTATTATGATATAAATTTAATATCAATATATTTCTATTAAAACGTAGTTTTGAAATATCGAATTATTATAAAATATATCTATGTATAAATATAGGTATTAAACTATTAATGGTCAAAGTACAATATTGGAGACCGTAAAAAGTCAAATGGGAAGAATATTTCCAGACGGAGGGAGTATAAGATAGGATAGAAATGCAGAACATGACCCAAATGATAAAAACCTCATCATGGAATTTAAAGCTATAAAGAGTTCCTCTAATAGCCTTTGAAACGAGTCATAAGCCTTTTGAATATCAAGTTTCACCATGTATCTAGGAGAGAGACGTCTTTAGTGACACATCAAAACATTATATTAGCATATTATGATACAATACTTTTCATTCCCAACTCAAATCAGTAAATAGCAACCCATTGGTGGGTGACTAAATTAACAACACATGTTTCATGCAACATAATTGCAGCCTTGCTCTGATACGTCCAAGCCTCAGGACTGAGTTCATTATGATGAAAAGAATCAATACCTCAGTTTTAGAGTTATTTTACCTCGTTTCATCTTCAAAATTCTTGAGAATAATCCATCAAAATACTACTCTTAGAAGCATTTACATTACTCTAATAAAAGCAAAGATCAATATGTTGCTTCCTTTTGGCCCGCTAGCAATTTTGCTGCACTTGTTAATTAGTATTTCCCACTAACTTTTAATTAGTATTAGGAAATAAATTAACATGCAGATATGATGGACTTTTCTTTATGGTGGTTTAATTTCTTCTATTGTTGTGCATTGCACTGTTAGCTCAGAGGCTAGGGATATGTTACTGAGTATGTTGATAAAACAGAGAGCCATTTATCCTTTACTTCTCAATCTACTCTGTTTGGGTTGGTTTCTTCACTGTAGTCATTTACCATGTCACTACTACCTTATGCTGCAGGAATTGGTCATTTATACAGGGCCACCAGGCTATGTATTGTTGCTCACTTGGTGGCTTATACCTGACTATCTAAGCAGGAAAATCAGATTATGACAGGAAAAATATAAAAGACGTGCATTTTTATTATTCCTCAATGACAAATTGGTCCTTCAAAATTTCACCTTCAATTTAGGAGCATTTATAATTGAGTAGACGACAATTTCCCTTTGATATTCAGATTGACCAGTTGTATCTATATGGTTTTACACAGAATACGGTTGTTAATGATAGAAGCTCATTAGGCAGACAATGCAATTGAAAACAAATATCCTAATTGTAGACTTCTGGATAATATACTCATCAACACTGTCATGAGATAGGATATTTGTTTTCAAATGACTGACACGCCGGAAAATCATTTGTTTTCAAATATCCTAATTGTAGACTTCTGGATAATATCCTAATTGTCAGTCATGAGATAGGCAGACAATTCAATTGAGAACATTCCGGCGTGTCAGTCATTTGGATATTAAAAACCATGTGCTAAACTATTGGCACCAAAGTATGATTAGTACCTCTATTTTTTCGTCCATATCAAACAGGCTAATAGCAGATTTGCCAATAATCTTCTCAGTTTCCTCGTCAAATATAATGAACTTTGTAATGTCCATGTCATCCTTGACCTGAACTCAAGGGAATATCTGTGTTTTCATTGAAATGCTTAAACATTATTCAACCTAGAAACATAGAATCAGGGGAAAAACACATAAATGTATAACATACCTTGGTAGAGCATCATCGACTACCTTCTCACATCTTTTGTACCAAAACTTTCCACCGCTAGGTTTAATTGATTCTCCTTAAATGCTCAAGCATTAAACAATCCAAACTAGTATTAAAACGTCATTGTTGTGTAACCAAAAAAAAATATTTAGAATAATCTTAAAATTTATCTATTTTGCACCTACATCTTCAAAGCCACATGCAATACTCAAAATCACCTCCAATGGTTTCTAAATGAGACATGACTGTGGTTGTATCCATGACAGGACTCTCGACAGTAAGTGCTACGATGATGTTGGAATCGCATAGTGCACTGCAAATTGTCAGTAGGTAGTGTTACCTTGGAGCGCAAGCCAATTTACATTTTAGATGATTCAGTTGGGGGTGTTGATATCGATCATAAAACATATGCCAATTAGTATGAGAAATGTGACAGAACAGGCTATATTCTGCCCTGTTTTACCCACCACTAACCAGATTTCATTACTCGCCTTTTCATTACAAATAATACCAATAGTCGTCTGTCAACTTATTACTGTTTCACCAAATTCAAAGTGAATACTCCCACGATCACACAACCCCTAATTGTAGACTTCTGGATAATAAACTCATCAACACTCTTGTCCAAAAGGGTGAGCCTTAATTTTGCAGCACTAAACATAGAAATACATAGTGTTATTTAAAACTCAAAAAAGCATCTAATATGGCCCGGTGTGAAGTTGGATAAACTTATTATTGCAACCATATTAGTGTTTAACATCTAACAATGTCCAAACTGTCATGACTTATTATTGAAAACAGCTTATGTCCATTTATTTTGTTTCGAATAATAAAAGCAATTTGAAAAGGAACTGTTTATTTTCTTTTTTTGTAATAATAAAAAACAAAACCTCAAATCCATTAGATGAATAGAAAACTGTTAGAATCAACTCATCTCTATTTATTTTGTTTTCAGTAATAATAAAAGTTTATTATTAAACCTCATATATTGAGAACTGTTGGAATCAACTCCTTTTTATATAGGTTGTTTTAAATAATAATATAAAAAATTGAAAAATTGTTGTCACTTCACTCCTGGCATCTATGGGTTATACGAATCAGCAATGGAGCATTAAACTTTAATTCTAAACACTTTGGTCAAGTGTTTTTTCAGCAAAAAAAAAATGAACAAAACAAACCATTTATTCTTATTGTCGCGGAAAACACATTAAACTTTAAAATATATACCTACACACATAAAAGCAAATAACCAAACCTCGAATCCTGCAACTCTAGGGTGAGGCATCTCACTATTTAGCCATTAACATTCTTATTTTTGACATCTCCCTTGCTGAATACTTGGACCACAACATATACCAAAACAAAAACAGATCATTAAACATCAGCAAGTACCAAATTAAAACCACTGAAACACCCTAAACAATTGAAAAGATAGACTTCATAAGTATAAAACATGTGGGGATGTAGTCCTAGCCAATCCTAAGAGCAAACTTATCAGCAACAACAACAAAAAAACAACAACCCAATAGACCCACAAAAGCAGGGTCTGGAGAGAATGTGTGTACGTAGACCTTACCCCTACTAAGGGTAGAGAGGTTGTTTCAAGGAATGGCAACCTTATCAATATCAACTAAATAAAAATGATGTTTTGGGATTTTAAAACACCCCTAAGTAACTACTCTATAATGGCTTTGCTTGTCAACAACCTAAAATTCTTGATTTAATAGATACCATCTTTAACAAACATGCCTTGAAACAAATGTGCAAAATTCCCTTTGATGCTAGCATGGATATAAGAACCCTAATGCATCAAATAAAATAGACCCAAAATGAACCCAACTACAACCTCCACATCAATCAATATCATATCGGTACCAAAATAACCCTCTCTATTGTTCTTTGTTCTTTGGAGTGGAACAAAGTTGTCCTTTCCACTCCGACCTTGTTTGGACGAAGCCATAGCAGTCAGTACTTAAACCCCACACAATAGTCTAAAAGCCCCGCAACCTCTAATGACCATTCCACCGAAATATACAGCGCCCAAATACTGAAAAAAACGCTGAAAGACTCGAGTATACTAGAAATATTCCCACTGCTTCATTCAAAGAAATGCAAATCAATTCAAACGAATTTAATTGTAAGGGGCATGAATCCATAGCATGTTAATCCAATCAATGGCATCATAGCGCCACTTAATGAATTCTACTAACCTGACCGGCAACCAAAACCCTTATCTGCAATCAAGCTTATCCCTTCGCGTGCTCAGAATGGCTACAGATAGAATTACGCCACGGGAAACACCCGCGCGTCACAAATTCCTCCGCCGCGGGCTAACCGTGGGTGGCTTCACTTGCTTATTTGAATAACTAATATTTTTGTCAATTTTTTTAGGTTTAGTTCTTTTGAATTATAGTTCATGAGATATGTTTGGTTGAGAGAAAACTATATTTGCAAGAAATTCTAATAATTTGTTATGTTACATAAGTGGTAGGAAATAGTTTTCTAAGAAAATATTTTCTCATAAAAGAAAAAATGACTATCAGTTATTTTGGATTAAAGTTCATTTTCCTACTCAATCTTCGAGGACTCTAATTCCTCTGGAGTTCATTTCCCCGCCCACCCTCATTCTCTCCCCTACCCCGCCCCCGGCCTTTCCTCCCCAATGAAGCCCTTTGAATGGGTAATTTAAAGTTATCCACGTAATATTTTGGTCGATTTTATAAATTATCTTCACTATACTATTTTTAAATGAATTTATGAAAATATAGATAATGTTTTTTTAACACTATAGACAATAAAATCAAAGTATGAATATTCTAATCAAGTCAATAGCACTAAAAAATAGATATTAAAATCCAAGTAAAAAAAAATTTTAGCATTTAACATTTGAATATGAAAATTCTTAAATATAGATTTGAAAGTGAAAACATCAAGTTTTTTTAATCCATATTTTAAAAAGACTTCGAGGTATACAACATTTTTGGTGTGGTTATAAGGATTTTCATTATCATCTATAACTAATGTTTTTAATCTTTTCTTTGTTTTCACTCATGAAATAGCAACATAAATGACATGTTTACCTTTTGACTTTCATTAATAGTAATTACAAAACATAAGCTATTGGGAATTGTATTCTTTAAAACTTCAAGGATAATCCATACCAAATGATACATAAATGATCTTGGGTGTGTAAACCTTCTCTTACACTTTGTTTCCTAATACTACCTCCGTCCCAGAGTATTTGTCCATTTTCATTTTTACACACCATCCAATATACTTTTTTAATCCATTTTATCTTGTAATTTGTATATTAAAAAATTATAGAAATTATATATTACGGAGTAATAATCTATATGTTAAGAAAATCAAACAAAATCACACATGACTATATTTAGGCTTACACATTGAGAGAATTTGATGAGTCAAGGTACTTAGATAAACTGTTCCAAAAGTCAAAAGTTGACGAATACTCCGGGACGGAGGGAGTACTACAATTGTGCCGAAGACATTTTTTGTAACTTTTCAACAATTAACCTTATACTATTACATAATTTAGATGTTTGATCAATGTTACACAATAACTTAATGGTTACAACTCTTTTCCAAATAATTTTTCGATTTAAGATTCTTGAACATTTGATCACATTGATAAAGTTAATTATTACCAATCGCCATTGATGGAAAAACAAATATGATTCTTCTCCCACGCATTTACTTTAGATTAGCAAAAAAATTGATCTATTTCACCGCATTAATATGATTCTCCTCCCTGACTTCCCTCTTATTGATTTAAAATATGATTCTTGCCTTAATATTTTTTCCTCCTTGACCTCCCTCATATTGATTTAAAAATATGAATCTTGTCTCTCTTATTAATTGAAAAAGTTAATAAAAAATATTAGCGATCTTATGATTATTCTACTCTGCATCACTTAAATAAAATAGGATACCGTTCATACAATTTTGCGATTCAATAATATTATTTTTTTCACCTAAAGTAATTTAAATTAGCGGAAAAAATTCGATTCATCTCCCCGATAGTTCATAAAATATGATTCGTCTCTCCCCGCATGATTCATAAAATAGAAGCTTAGATTAGCAATCCTATTATTCAAAAAAAAAATAACTTGAAAAATAATTAAAAATTTAAAGATTCTTTTCCCCCACATGAATCTTGTCTCTCAAAGTTTTTCATGTAAAAATGTAAATTGCTCATACCAATTTTTAATGCTAATATAACTTCATATTAGGAATAATCATTGATATTTATATTCTTAAGTTTTTTAAAGGTTATATTATATGTAGTTTAAAATGTTCAGTAGTTAAGGAAAAATAACTTTAATTGGTTGATGAGCTATTTGCATTTATATTTCTATTACTTTTTCCGAATATCACATATATTCATATACATAAAATAAAGAGAGTTTATTGTTGTAATATCCCCCGTGGTTTGATAAATATGCATTGTTACACCTATGATTTCAAAAATTACATTGTTCCCTCTATGGTTTTAAAATTCATACTCCAATGTCTCTCTAGACTAAAATACCCTTCAAATATTAAATGAATAGCGCTGCTGCCCCTTATAGTTTGAGAAATGGGCACCAACACCCCTCTCCTTTTTTTCTTTATTGCTTTTCTTTTTCTTCTATTTTTTCATCAATATTTTTGAAGATCTTTTTTAAAACTTTCTCATAAATGTTTTAAAGTTCTTTTTAAAACTATTTTGATACTACGTAATGATTTAATAATAATTTTTTTTGTTTGAAATAAAAAAATTAACATACACTTCATTTGTCTCAAATTGAATAATTTTATTTTTTCCAAAAGGGATTATTATTGGTTCATTTTCATGATACAAAAATCAATGAAAAATTTTCACTTTTTTATACTGAAGCTTATTTCACATTTTCTAGTTTTTAATTATTTTCTCTTTATGAATTTAAGAAAATTAATTTTATAAATTTTCTTTTGTTTAAGTTAAAATAAAATAAAAAATAATAGAAAGAAATTGAAAACGAAGAAAAGTATATGAAAATAATACTTTTGTAGAATAGGAAAATTAAATTATGAAGAAAATTTGTTACGCATCGATTCAAAAAACATATTATGAGTATATAATTAAATAAATATTAAAAAGACTTTACTTTGTATTCTTTTGGTCTCAATAGATTCAAAAAAATAAGAAATTTTTTAGAAAAATTGAAAATAGTTAATTTGAGACAAATGAAATATATTTTAAATTAATAAAGAAAAAAGAGGAGGGTGTTGGTGCACATTTTCAAAGTTATAGGGGGCAATGGAGCTATTCATTTAATCTTTGAAGGGTATTTTAGTCAAGAGGAGCACTGGCACAGGAGCCAACGACGTAAATTTTGAAACCATAGGAGGTAAGAATTTTAGTTTGGTTCGGTTTTTCTGGAGTGAAAACCAAAACTGAAACCAAATATTAATGGTTCAGTTTTTTTCAATATTCAATTTCGAGTTTTTCGATTCGGTTCTTTCTAGCTCCTTTTTATCGGTTTCGATTCGATTTACGATTTCCAGTTTTCCCAACCTAGCCCTATGTATGTGTCTTTGCATTGCCAAAGAATAACCTTTGTAAGCCAAAGAATAATCTTTGTATTAGTTAAAGCTAATATTCGCAATGTGGAGTGGGAGTAAGCGAGTAAGGGTTGCTTCTAACACACAAGTCTTGAGATTCGGTTCACACCTTTGGAACATTATTTTCTGACCTTTCTTCAGGTGCAATGAAAATCACATGACACCTTTCCAAAAGCATGAACTAACTGGCATTCATGTATCCCAAACACACACACACAAAGAATGGCATATCTAATCAAAAAAGAAAGCCCCTTCCGCTTTAACAAAAAAAAAGTGCTCTATTACAAATATTTGTTTATGTATAGAAGAGTTTTTATAGCAACAGCTTCAACTATTCGATTACAGTATTTTTTTGTTGCAATCTTCGATTACAGTGTTTGGCTTAAGAGTTTTTTAAAATTAACACACACCATTAAAAATTACTCCCTCCGTCCCCCTGTATTTGTCCACTTTCATTTTTACACACCATCCAATGCACTTCTTTAATCCATTTTATCTTGTAATTTGTATATTAAAAAATTATAAAAATTATATATTAATAATCTATATGTTAAGACAAATCAAACAAGATCACACATGATTATATTTAGACTTACACATTGAGAGAATTTGATTAGTCAAAGTGCTAAGATGAACAGTTCCAAAAGTCAAATGTGGACAAATACAGGGGGACGGAGGGTATATTCAAAATGTAAACCTTAATTAAGTAAATCGGCACGGTTCCATGGCCACTGGAATCCAGTGGCCACGGAACCGTGCCGTAAATAAATTGCACTTCAATCTTTGCATAGGAGTATTTCTTGGTTCACTTCAAACTTTAAATGGATACACCAGGAGGCGCACATGCGGGATGCCATTTTTCTAAATTCTAGGACAGTTTAGTTTATGGTGCCGGGATGAAAAACATAATTAGGTGCATTACTGAAAAACACATCACCCTTGACCAGAATGTCAACTAAAATTAGGGGTGCAATTAATGAAGTAGTGTTGGGTAATGGAAGAAGAACTATTTCGAGGTTGAACGAATACGTAGGACGTATGGGGCTTAAATTTGGAGTGTCATATTATGACACCACATCCTAGTGTCAAAAGAATCGCTCCGCTAATTTTATACGGAGTATAAATAATCTTTGAAAAATGCTAGGGGTCCCCAAGTGTACCTCAAACGTTTGAACCACACACTTTGTTCTGTAAGGTAAAAAACAAAAATAAAAATTTGTGGCTTCAAATGTTTGGAATACACTTGAACCACACACTTTGTTCTCATAATCTTTTTATACTAGATATATATATTTTTTGTATTATATTAAAAAAGTTCTATAATTTTTATGCGATGAGTGGCTTTTGACATAACATAAGGTAATTAAACTATATAGCATTAAAATAAGGAAATACGGATTACATGTTTTTGAAAGTATTGTACACATATTTTTACAAATATAATTTTAAAGCGAGTCAGAACGATCCTGAAGATGATGTTGTCTAAAATTATCCCATTTATTTCATGATTTGGACAATTTAAAACAGTTTGAGACGTTATACTTCAAACTTTTAGTCAACTATAACCCTAAATAACTTTAATTTGTTAACCCATAAAAATAATTCAAGTTTTTTTACCAACAGCGTTAATAAATTCTTAAATAAATTGTTTAAAAAAACTAGACAAACATTTAAAAAGTAACATTTTAGTTTACAAATTCTATGAAGTGATATAAAAAAGTTATGTGAATTGAAATTTTTTGTATCTTTCTTAAGCAAAACAAATTTTGTGAATTTTTTTCTTGCTATCTCATTTATACAAATAAATAAATAGATATTTATATACATACGAGAAAACAAAACAAAACAAAAGGGGAATACGGGCATGTTTCAGAATAGCGTTAGCGATTAGCGTTAGCGTTTTGAAAAGGCTATCTATGAGCAGCGTTTAGCGTTAGCTTTTTCAAAGTAATCTACACCGTTATAAAATTTTATCCAAAACGCTAACGTTAATCTCTAACGCTATTCCCAAACAGGCCCTACATGTATGTGTCTTAGTCCCGTTCTAATATAAAACGTGGTGGAACAAGTCAGGACAATTTCATCTTAAACAAACAGAATATTATACTACCTCCGTCCCTGAGTATCTGTCCACTTTTGACTTTTTTCGGTCAAAATTGGTAAACTTTGACCTCAAATTAAATAAAAATGATATTAGATATTGATACAAAATAGTTTAATTAGATTTATTATATCAACTATTTTCAAAATATTATTTTATCTAATTAATATACAATATATATTTTATTTAATTAAGGGTCAAATGTTGAAAACAGTTGACCGAAAACAGTCAAAACTAGACAAATACTCACGGACGGAGGTAGTAAGAACGAAATCGGAAGGAATTATTTTTTCAAGAAAATTTTAGTATCGCAATATTAGCCAGGGTATTACAAATTAATTCACCGTGCTAAGTTAATCACAAAAAAACGTATCCAGCGTAAAACTTTAATGTCGAAATTTGTAAATTTTGACCACAAAATAAAAATGAAAACATTAGTATACTTAAAAGTTGTGGTAGTATAAAAAATTAAAGAACTCATTAATTCATTTAGTCCTAGTAATATATACTACTTCTGTTTATCAAAACTCTTTCACTTTCAATTTATTCTCTTTTCCAAAACCACTCTCACTTTCTTTAAAAAAAATCAGGTTTACCCCTATTTTTTCTTATTTTATACTCCCTCCGTCCCAAAAAGGTTTACACGTTTCAAAAAAATTGCGTCCCAGAATCCTTTACCCATTTCTATCAAAAACCACTTTTACCCCTTACTTTTTCAAACCCTACCTATCACATTATACCTTTTCCTAATAATCTACACATCACATCCTACTTTTATCCATCACATCAAGGGTATTTTTGGAAAGTCAACACAAAATTATCCTTCCCTTAATTTCAACTTTAGTCAAAATGGGTAACACTTTATGGAACGGAGGGAGTATATCACTTTATATTTTTTCATTAATAATTTACCTATTATATCTTACTTTTACTCATCACATTAAAAGTAAAATTATAAAGTCAACTACAAATATATCCTACCTCGGTCCTTGAATATTTGTCCAATTTTAACTTTTTTCGGTCAATTATTTTTAGCTTTTGACTTATAATTAAATAAAATATATATTTTATATTTATAAGATAAAAAATATTTTAAAAATATTTAAAATAATAAATCTAATCAAATTATTTTTGTATCAATATCTATTATCATTTTTATTTAATTTAAAGTTAAAGTTTACCAATTTTAACCAAAAAAAGTTAAAAGTAAATAAATACTTTGAAACAGAAGAAGTATTATTTATTTCTCCTATTAGTCAAAGTGAATTGAAATTTCACTCAATAGGACTAAAATATAATAATTTTCTCGATATGTTTTTATTTAGCAATGTAGGACCATTGATTATTAACAGTTAGTCATTATTAAAATAAATGTTCATCATAAATTGACATTATTCTTTTCACTTAATATTATTAAGTCCTATTAGAAAATAAAAAAAAGTTTAAGTATTACATTGGAAAATAATTTATATTTTAATCTTATTTAATGCAAATATTTTCTTAGTCAAAATAAGATTTATTTTAGTAAAGGAAAGGACTACAACACGGAAGGAGTACAGCTTTTCCATTAACAATCCGTACAATTACATTGAATTATAATGAAATTATTATACAATCAAGAAACATTTTTTTTTGCTTTGCCAGCAGATGCTAAAGCTTTGCTTTCCTGCACCGGCCACACCATTAGAAAGGTATCAGATTCTCTTCATTTGATCCTCAAACAACCCGAAATTAAATTACGGTTCGGTTCGGGCCCCCCGGCATCCTCATACCTGTATCCAATTCATCCCTGCAACATTATTAGTTCAGATTCAAGAAAAGAAATTTTCAGATCTGAAATTTCAAGAAAAAGATAAATCATAGATAGATCTAACAGCCAAAATTAAAAAGCATTTCAATTACCCAAATCTGTACTTTCTTTTTTTTGTGAGAAATTAGAGAAGATTTGTTCAGGAAGCAAAGAATATAATTCTGGGGTTATGATGAGAAAGCAAAACCCTAAACAAGAAAGAAAGAAAGGGCAAGCATAAAAGATGCAAAGGAAAACTAACCACTCGAAAAGGACACAATTATGTGTTCCTGCAAACCATCATGACAGTAATCATAACAAAATAATTACTCATATTTCTTTATTTGTTTCTCAGAAAAATTTTTAAAAAATAAATAATTAATTATTTCAAATAAAAAAAATACTCCGAAAATTAAGTGTAACTGGCATGGGTGGTTCACGAGAGTAATGATGAAACTCTTACCCCTTTTTTTCTGTATTTCAGTGACGAGAAAGTTAAAGAAAAAAAGTCAAAGATCTGCACATCATCATTACACCAATCTGCTCTTGTCCACCGCCCACACATCCTTTAAAAAAAATTCAAAGAAAATAAAATAATTATTCATAAAATTTACTGAAACAAAGAAAACAAAAATCACACTTCCCTGATCTGATAAAGATTGGGAAATAAAAGAAACCATGTATCAACAATATCCAAAAGGAAGGCGTAATTGGGGGGAATGAAGCCTGGTCCGACGCAACCAACGCAAGATCACGAAAACAAAAAATGGGTTCGGATCTAATTGGCTGCCTCGAGCCAGACAACATTCCCCTCAATCAAAACAAGCTTTCCTTTCTTTCTTCTCATTTCTTTTCTTTTCTCAAAGAGAAGCTAAGGGATATGATGGGAAAATTGAGAGAGAAAGAGATATGAATGTGTGAGTGGTTGATGAGAAAATGAATGGGTTGAGGGAGGAGATAGAGAGGGGGGAGGGGAATAAATACAAGGGGAGGAGAAAGGAAAAGAGGGCAAAGAGAAGAGGACAAAAAAAAATAAAAAAATAGTCATAAAAGCTGATAAACAAACACGGCCCTACAACCACAAACGGGTTAAATCGGGCGGGTTCAGGCCAACCTATGAGCACCCCTTCCCCCACCCTTTCCGCTGCCCGAACCTAACCTACACAAAAATCTGTTTTCTCTTTTCTCATGTATGTACAGCCCATGTGCGCCTCTATAACGATGCAATTCTGCAATTTAAAATTATTTATTACGATGTGGCAATTGATTGATGTTGTTGTTGCGTTCTTAAAACATTTGTCCGTTTCTAATCGATTGTGTCATTATTATACCATAATTCAATAGGTCAAACGTTCGTAAAAATAAAACTATAAAATGAAGGGATTGGAGAATGCCAATGAGATCTTGAGAAAGATATCCCTCCCATTTGAATATATATTCTCTCTTCTCCAAAATTAAAGTCTCATTTTGAATTGTGAAAGTTTTTTTTTAATTGTTTTATCGAAAATCTTGAATAGAGAAAGAAATGGAAAATATTGTTTTTCTCTTGGTCAACGAGTGATGCAACATCTTTCTGAATAAATTTACTTAAAAGCCTATTTAACCCAAAATTCCAAGAATGTTGCGTTTACTATTTTGAAGGAGAAGACAGTAGAGGGAATTATGGAAGCTTTGTCTAACATGTACGCGAAGTCATCTGTAGCGAACAAGGTTTTTCTTATTAGAGAGCTGATGAACACAATAATGAAAGAAGGCACTTCATTTATCGAGCATGTCAATAAGTTGAATTCGATCTTAACCAGACTTGTGTTAGTGCGGATTAAGTTCAATGATAATGTTCAAGCTTTGCTACTGTTATCGTCTTTGCCTGGTAGTTAATCTGGAACGGTTACAGCTGTTACCGGTTTAGTGAGACCCGATGGATTCCCTTCTGATCAAATTTGTGATCTCATTCTTGGCGAGGACGTCAGAAGAAAGAGTTCTGAATTGTTACAGAGGTAGTGGGAGCAGGAATAGACAAAGGAGTCAGTTGAAAAGTTGTGACAGCTCAGGTGTAACGTGCTGGAAGTGCAAGGAGGTAGGGCATTTTAGGATTCAATGCCCGAATGATAAGAAAGTGAACATTGTTGAAGGCTCCGCGAGTGACGAGGAGGTCCTTTTGACTTGTTGTGAAGACAGAAATGTGGATTCCTAGGTTATGGATTCTTGTGCTTCATTTTATGATACCCGCAGCGGTGAAGCATTGCAGAATCTAGTTATTGGGAACTTTGGTATTGTAGACCCCAGTCAGTTTCTGGATTTTGAAGGATGTCAGAGTGGTTCCTCCCTTGAAGAAAAGTTTGATTTAATTTCTTTCAAGCAGTTAGACGAATAGAGACACGATCTGAAGTTCAGAGATGGGCAGTGGAAGGTCGTGAAGGGAATTCTCGTCATGGCCCACGGAAAGAAGAGTGGTTCGCTGTACATGGGTAGAAGAAGGTTGTGTGTGCAAGAAAGAAACCTAGAGCCACTAGTTAGACTCAGGATGAACAAGCGAGGAAAGGTTCAATGAGGCTACTCAAAGATATTTATGGCAGTGGGAGCTTAGGTGGTGCTTCAGCCAAGGTTCCTAGAAGATAATGGATCAGGAGAACCAGTATTTCAACTGTTGGAACATCTCTAGAAGATTTCGTGTTAAGTATGGAAAGTGTTCGTTCTCAAGATGTTCCAGGATAGGTAGTGTGTGTTTGCAGTAGCAGCTGGTAGGGATCGAGGACGAGTCAAGGGCTGATTTGGTAAATTTTCACTTAGTAATTTTTCTTTCTCATTTTCTTTTCCTTCCACTTTTTTCACTTCCTCTCTAACCAAACATAAAGAATTCTTTTCCCTCTCATTTTCTTTTCTTTTCTCTTTCAAATTCTTGAACCAAACATAGTTTAAGTGATTTGGATAGAATCCTAACCTTTTGTGATTTAAAGTATAAGGTGGAATGTAAAAAATAACAAGTGGGAAAATATTCTGTATATTGAATTGTTCTGTGTAATTACAAGGGGTTTCTCCTTTATTTATAAGAGAGGATGATTCCAAAATAGACAATGAATACAAATCCTACAAGGAAACAAATCAATAATCAAACTAGGAAACAACTAAATCAAGATCAATCCCAATTAGAACGGGATTCGGTCATCATAGGATTTGGACTTCTCGAGTTCGGATTTCTCGGAATTTGTACCTCTCGGAATTCGGATCTCTCAGAATCCGGATTTCTCGGAAGTTGACTTCTCCGGATCCGGAATTCTCCGGATCCGGACTTCTTAGTTCCAATACCCCCCCTCAAGCTGGAGCATGCGGATTCTGGATGCCCAGCTTGGACAGTAAATGTGAAAACGGAGCGGAAGCCAAAGCCTTTGTAAAGAGATCTGCCGGTTGATTATTGGTGGAGATGTGGCGAGTACACAAAACACCTCTCATTTTCTTTTCTTTTCTCTTTCAAATTCCTTGAACCAAACATAGTTTAAGTGATTTGGATAGAATCCTAACCTTTTGTGATTTAAAGTATAAGGTGGAAAAATCTTTTAATTTGTGAAATCATGTATTTGTGGTAGGATAAGAGGCTTGAATTCCGAAATCAAATTCTCAAGCTATATGGTTTTTAATTCACCGTTAAGTTTAGGAGGTGGTTAGTGAAGGTTCAAACATGGTTGTTTGCGGGCTGGATGTAGGCATTAGGACAAACGATATAGGTCGTGGTGTTCTATATTGCTTTACATCGTGCTTTTGTTTTGATGATATTATTTGGTTATTACTACCGCGAGAGCATTTCAAAGCAAAATCACATAAAAATCGGTCATTGTAGTCTACACCTCTGTTCACCCCACCCCAGCGTAGCCACTAGGAATCAAAAGATCGAGGTGGCCAAAAGATATTTAAAAGGCATGAATAATGCATATTGGGCGGAGAGAAAATATATTTTCATCCAATCTAATGACTCTAGATCATGGATGATTATTAAAAATGGTGACACACTTTATATAATGATCAATGATGGGGTTAGTGTACCAAAGTCTATAAATCAATACATGAAATAAGACATGAAAATGTGTAACAAAATACCAGAGCTATCAACTATCTCTATTGTGTCGTGAATATGAATATCTACCAAAAATCTTTACGTGCAAGATGGCAACCGAGATGTGGAACAAATTAAAGATTACTTATGGAGAACATTGTCAAGTAAAGGACACAAAGACCAACATACTAGTCCATGAGTATGCCTAACACCCCAACTCGGACAACCGAGCCAACTGGGCCAATGGGTTCGAGATGCACTAAGATGGTATCACAACGATTAATCAACATTTATTACAAAACTTGGGGGTATTTAAAGACTCCAAACATGTTCAGAACATCACCGAGATTTATTAAAATGATGTGGAAGCAACGCAACCAATTTTATAAACCTTTGAGATGAGTGAATTTCAAGAAAAATATTTAAGTTTATCGGAAGAAAACAAATACGGAGTATATTTTATAAACTGGGCTTGGCCCCTTGGAAAGTAGTAAAAACTTGATTTATTTCACAAGCTTGTTCTTTCAATTCCTCTTCCTCGATTTAAACATCTTTTGAGATTAGATTCTTCCTTATGCTCAACTATACCTACGTGTAGCAAAATATAAAAGAAACTACACGCTCAGCGGTGAAGCTGAGTGATACCACAATGATAGAATATGTTGTGTAACACCCTGAAACTAGATCAATCAGATTTAATTAATTAAAAAAAATTAACTAATTATTGATATAGACCAAAATTGAGAAATTAAAACAATTTATTATTGATACGGACCAAAATTGAGAAATTAAAACAATTAATTAAGTAATTATTGATACATACCCAAATTGAGAAATTAAAAACACTATTTATTAATCATGCAAATTATACCATGGTGTAGAGCCACATTGACTACTCGGAATGGTGCGATCATACTTCAATTCAAAGAAAGTTGGAACAAAAATTATTACATATGGAGCACAAAACTCTAAACCTATATATGCTAAAGAGTACCCCACATCGAAACTTGAAGAAAAAAAATATATGAATAAAACAGTTACATTGAATGTTTTATTAATCTAACTTTATATAAGACCCCTCACCTTTCCCTTTATTACTCAAATTTTTCTCATTTTTCTAATTTTAATAAAAAAAATTGAAAGTCAATATAGTTTAGAGAAAAATAATAAAATAGGAGTAAAACATAAAAAACATGAAAATATTCCGAAAATAGGAGTTAGAATGAAAATAAAATGTCAATCATGAAAGAAAAAATACATTGTGTGACATGTCTAATATTTAAAAAAAATCTTGTAATATATAAAGTACAATTACAAATATATTATTCATAATAAATACTGCATAAATAAATTGAGGTTCAACGTAACCATAATAACTTTATAAAATTTAACATTTTGTTATTTATGCTAACTTTATATTATAATTATTTTTTTGAAAAAGTAGTTTTTTGTGTATGAAAAATAACAATACTTTTTTCTTAGAGTCATTCATTAAGATAACGTGATGATGATAATAATAATAATAATGATAATAGTATAATACTAATTTATTGCAATAAAAATTAGAATGAGAATAATATAAAAATGCACTAAAATAAATTTTTTAAAAGTTTTTTAAGGTAGTCTAATTTTTTTAAGTTTTTCCAGTTTCTTCCAGTTTCTTCTAATTTCTTCCAGTTCCTTCCAGTTTCTTCCAGTTTTTCAGTTCCTTCATGTTTCTTCTAGTTCTTTCCAATTT